TTATACAAACACCTAGCTCTCTGAAGAAGGCTCTAATGCTAGGAATTGTGGAAGGAAAGAGAAGAAGAGGACAACCAGCAGGGAGGTGGATGGATTCAGTTACAGTGGTGATGGGTGTACTGTTGGAAGACCTGAAAGACAGGTTAGGGACAGATCATAATGGAAAGAATCTATCGATGTGGTCACTAAGAGTTGAAAATGACTTGATGGCACATAATCAATTTATCAAAATTGGAGATATTGCCCTATTTTTGATAGGGATAGGCAGGATGCTTTCAAGTCATGAGATTTTGGGTGGGACAAGCTAATCTGGAGCAGATAAGGAGCTGAGACAACAAAGACAGTATCATTATGATAGATTCAGTCATTTCTTTTGAATTGCCAATCTAATGCTCCTTTATAGTATTAGAGGATATACAAAACATGCACAAGGGGAGAAAAAAGCTTCACACCGGGCACACAGCAGTAGGTACCAGGTGCTGTGCCTTGTATTTTGGCAGGAGCCAGCACATGTGATACTAGCTGGTGTGTTGTTCTGTTCTGTGTTTAATTTACTAAGCAGGGAAGTTTTACTGATGCAGATGATAAGTGCCCATTCTTCTAGCCTAGGGAAGATATAATAACAGTGATAATTCCCGCCCTTCACTCCTGGAATATGAATATTCCTCCAACTCTTAATAACTCAACCTTGCATTTTCAAATGCATGTCAGGACATAAGGACACATGGATGCATGCCTACATGCGGGAATGGGGACAGAGAGAGAGAAAGAGAGTATTCCAATCACCCATATTAATTTCAAACTCATTCTTTCTCCCAGCTCCCATTGTTACCAAATTCTGCACTAATTTGAATAGGTCTGAAACTGATCCCCTGAATATGTGATTTGGAGTTTCTGGTTAGCTAGGAAGAAATTGGCACAAAATTAATGGATCACTTTCAGCCCATATCATCCTCCTGCTAGTTGTAAGCATCCTTAACAACAGCTCCCAAACAGCAGCAGTTAGAAGGGCACCTTCTGTTCTCTAAAACCAGGCTATGTTTATAAAGTAGGAGGTGGACTGAGTTAGGAGAACCCAGCTTCCTACTTTGGCCATGATTGCAGAACTGCCATCTACCCTGTAATTGGAGCTTTGTACCTCCAAAAAGGCAGAAACACCTGTTAGTGCTACCCCCTCAAACATACATTCCTGGGTACCATTTAGGATGGCATGATGACCTACCATTTAACAAATGATGCCACGCAGAAAAGAGTTGTGTCTAAAATAATGATAAATGGTTACATCTTTATTGGCTGTGTACTTCATTGTTCACACTCTCAAATGGGTGGTACTGCATGAACATCCAGCTAATCATGGGGTACAAAACTTGGCACAGCTTGGAACACACAGCACCCGACCCCTCTGGCTCCCTTGGCAGGGCCCGACAAAAACTGCTTGTGCCTTTGTTGCACTTGCTGCAGAGGGAACCCTGCTGTTGCTGGGATTGATTTTCCCATTACCTTTTAATGTTGCATATTAAAGGTATAGAGATTCACTCTGTTACTCTCCTGCTTTATTAGCTTCCGGCAGGGCTGAAGTGACATTGCTGCAACTTTCTAGGGCTCTGGATGGACCTGGGCTGGAAGGGCAGGGGGGACAGCCCTCTGCTAAGTGATGACAGAATCTATGCATGGCTGCACTCACAGGCAGACAGGCCTGAATGCCGGGACAAATAGATTGAACCTTGGGGCCAAAACAACCAAAATGTGGCAGCAGATGCTGCTGAATCTTCACAAAGCAGGAGGTGGAGGATTCAAAGCACAACACGAGCAGGTGTGTATGCATATAACCTCTCCACCCCCATAATCACATCTCTCTTTCTTTTCAATCTCCTTTTAAAATTATTTTAGCCATTAATGACTGAAAATAACTAGCTTCAGGAGAGAAAAAGCAATTTAAGGAAAAAGGCCCAGGTAGAGCTCCCCACAGACCTGCCAACCCATGCTCTGCTTTAAATCTCTCCCTTCCCATCTGTCCTGTTTGCATGACCCTGCAAAGGACCAAATTAAATGGGATAAGGGTACTCATGTGCTCTAAAATTCATATAACTGCACCATTTGTGTGTGTTTCTATGTTTGTCTATCTGCAACAACTTCTGCTTCAATACAGCATTGTAATGGGTTTGTTAGGGGAGATTGCCTGGA